ATCCTTGCAAAGTTGTTCATAAATGAGGTTATATGGAAATGCTTTTACATTGTCTTTGAACAAGTTTCTATATCAAACCACATATATCTGTGCGAATTCTCAAACTGGCAATGAGCTAGCTATTTGTCAATTAAATTTTTCTTTATTAATGTCAATATACTAGCGATCTAACCCGCCTCCGCAGGGGTGATTTCTGGATCTCGACGTACCGGGTCCAAATGTGAATCTAAACCATCTGGGGAACTATTCAAACACACACAAAAAATTTCAACAAAAACAGATTTTGATTTGTCATTGTCTACGTTAGCTAGTGATGTACATTTCACTTACAAGAACTATCGAAAAATTATTGTTAAGGAAGCGGTAAAAATATTAACAAAATTGGTTTAATGCATGGGACAGAATAACTTCAAAAAAATTACTGAATTTTTACTTTGATAGTTCTAAAATAGAAAATAAAAAATATTCAGATAACAGTCCCAATAATCTCTGAAGAGTCGAGTCTACCAATAAATTTAAACAATTTCCCCAAAGAATTAGATCGGAAAGTTGTATTTTCGAGCTATGAACTTTGAGGAAAACTTTACTGCCATGAACAATGTCCCTAGATTTTTTAACATAACGTTAATTATAAACATTTAATAATTAATATTTAAATACATTATAGAAATTAATTTTAACATTCGACTTAAATTTGAATTTAAACTTAATATTTTTAGTAAATAAACTTGGAGGAATTATTTAAATAAGATTCCTATGTTTTGAGAAGGTAGTTTCTTAAATACCTTGGCCTTTAACCAATGTATTTAAAAAACTACCTTCTCAATCATCTGTCCCTGAAAAATAATAAACTTATTATCATTTTTGCTGCGTGAATTTAACAAATGATCACACACAGACTAGCCACAGACGCAGGAGATATTGAACTGTACTAGGTGTCTGAGGATACAGGTGCACTGTCTATTTTCTAAATCTCGGTATATTATAAAAACAGTCATCCACCCATGAACTGACTGCGATAAGTGTAGCATTATCGCGCAGATCTATTGATCCGCGCAACTGTTAATTAACCACAAGTTCCTCTTTTCTATGACTGACGCTGTAGGCAATAGACTACGCTATCAAGCCATCGGCACACTGTTGTCGGGAATCAAGCATAAATCGGGCATCGGGCATTGTGAGTATCAAATAATTTATAATATCCTGGCACACTGAACCGCGCGTCTCATGCGCGGGCATCTAGCGGCGCTTCATGAGCATTAATAAATATCTATACCTAACTACACTAAAAGTTTCATCATTGTGACTTGGGAATATAATCCGAAGCTCCGCTCAACCCCTTGGGGAAAATAGCGTGACGCTATAAATATTTTACTAGTGTGACTGTGAAGTGCGGGTGGTTAATTAAGGTTATACATTTTTTTTGGTTGATAAATAGATACTCAGTATAGTTCATAATTGCTTAAATAGGATAATCTCAAGAATTTTTATTTTTAATATAATACAGTTTTAAAATATATTAAAATCTATTTCTGTTTTTACCTAAAGCTTTTAAAGTAAAATTTTGGAAGCCTTACTTTAATAATATTATGTTTACTGGTACAAATGGTGTCATCGTGTCCTTCTCAGCAAAGCATGTATCAACAGTTATAAAAAACATGAAGAGGGGCAAATCGCCCGGTCACGATGGTCTCAGCATTGAACATTTTAAGTATGCTGGGGTGCACCTACCGCGCGAGCTCGCGATGTTCTTTAATTTATGTCTATGTCACTCTTATCTACCTGAGGCTTTAATGCGCACTATTGTGGTACCGATCCTTAAAAATAAGACTGGTGATACTTCTCATAAAAATAATTATCGGCCTATCTCACTTGCTACAACAAACAGCTTAGTTGCTTGACAGTCTGTTGAATAGCAATCTCGAAAAACATGTGAAGCTGAATGATGCCCAGTTCGGGTTTAGAGCCGGATTATCTACCGAGAGTGCTACTCTGAGCTTGAAACATACAGTAAACTATTATACGAAGAGAAGGACTCCAGTATACGCTTGCTTCCTCGACCTTTCAAAAGCCTTTGATCGCGTAATTTATGACCGCTTATGGGAGAAGTTGGGGAGTGCGGGTGTGCCGATGGAGTGCATCTCCCTCCACAAATTTTGGTATTCAAACCAGAAAAAAGTGAGATGGGCCGGTACGCTTTCGAATGAATATAGATTGCAATGTGGTGTAAGACAGGGGGGGTTAAGCTCACCTCTATTGTTTAATTTGTATGTCAATCAGCTTATTGAGCGACTCAGTAGTACTCATGTCGGCTGTCACATTGACGATATCTGCTTCAATAATATAAGCTATGCTGACGACATAGTGCTGTTGAGTCCCTCAATCAATGCACTGAGGACTTTATTGTCAATATGTGAAACATATGCGGAGGCACATGGGCTTAAATATAACGCTAACAAAAGCCAACTTCTTATGTTCAAAGCAGGCAAACATCAGCCCTCCCGTGTGCCTCCAGTAGTCCTCGATGGGGTGCCTCTAAAGCTGGTGGATAGTTTTAAATATTTGGGACACATTGTTAAAGCAGACCTCAGGGATGACGAGGACATAGAAAGGGAGCGCAGGGCGTTGACAGTGAGAGCCAATATGCTTGCTCGCAGGTTCACTAGATGTACAGATACAGTTAAAATAACGCTTTTCAAAGCGGTTTGTCAATCATTTTACTCTAGTGCCCTGTGGGTTACATATACGCGTCGAGCTTACAATGCTCTGCACGTACAGTATAATAACGCTTTCAGGATGTTGTTGCGGCTGCCGTGGCATTGCAGTGCATCAGGTATGTTTGCACAAGCGCGTGCTGACTCTTTTTCAGCGATCATTCGGAAGAAGACAGCCTCACTCTTGCAACGCTTACGAAACAGTAATAACAGCATCCTGAGAGCGATTTCTGTAAGATATGACTGTCCCATATAGAAGCACTGGGTGGGCGTAGTCATAGGATTAAAATAATATGTAATTACTTACAATACTAACATAGTTTTAAGCCAATATTGTTACTAACAACATTACTAACAATATATGGACCATGGTCTGAAATAAAATTATTATTATTATTATAATGTAGTAATGGGTCCTTTTAATAAAATTGTTTTTATTCTGCTTTTTCTTTTATATTTCTTAGGACAATGTTTGCTGCAAATTGTAGAGTTCTTCTTTGGATCCAACCAACCTACCCAATTAACCTTATTCATTTTTTTATTCTATTCATCTGTTTCAAAAACGGCAAAAATAAAATTACGCTTTTAGAACGCAAATTGAGCATTTAAGCATAAAATATTTTGTTTAAGAATGTGTTCACCAAAATCATACAAATTATCAACAACGTAACTTGTTTCTTTGCAAAATATCAAAATTATTAAGTAATTGAAAATATTGAAACATTTTAAACAGTCTATGACATAAATTTTAACCAAAAATAGACGCGTTATAGCAGTAACAACGTGTTGTGAATTTACCTGTGAAATGTGCAACCATTAGGATTATTTCTCTTATTGACACCACAGTCACTCATCGCAAAATTATCCATCGAAAATCCCATCACGCAACTAGGTTTCTGTGATTACAATAATGTCACAATCATTGCACAAAATTTGTTGCCGCAGTTGTAAACATTTTGATTTCAGTCTGCGGGCATTTTAATAGTAAATAGATAAATCTTTTCGTAATTGGTTTTATTGGACCGCTATTTTAAACATATATTAATTTAATAAATTGTAATTCTCTTATAAGTTAACCGGAAACAAATTATATAAAAATTAATAAAATTCACGGATATGTATTGGTAAAATTATGTTTACGAGTATTAAGTATGTTTATGTTACATGTTGTAATGAGATTCACGCTCGGTCACGCTAAAGATACCATATCCGTAGAATAGCAGCATTGAATAAAATATTGTCTGTTAAATTAGAAGTCTTTACGTGAGTTTGTGGCAGAATATTAAAGTGTTTACTTATTGAGCGTAATATACGATTACTAAGCGGTAGGCGTATCATTTCGCGCACAATTTGGCGGTATTGTAAAATAAAATTGCTGGTGTAGAACAGCGTGTACCCAATGCCGATAGATCATAGATGTAATTAGTTGTGATTGCGTAGTACTTTGCTTATCACAGAAACAATGATGAGAGAGGTTATTTGATGTTCATTATGTGCTCATGGATATTAACCCTAGAACCGTACCCATAATAGACTTTAAATAACAGTACCCAGGGGTTTTAGTGTACCCCGTAAAATAAAACATTTTTTTTTTACATAAGAATAGACATTTATTAATAATCAACATACATAGTCTTTTATGGCACTTATTTCAGTCTCACGTTACATAATTAAACAAAAAATTAACAAACTTAAATTAACAATTTTGGCAAATCTTTTTTTGGTGCTCTAAACATATAAAACTTTTACATTTTTCACATCGAGTGCGTGATTTACGGTCTTTTGACCTGGGACAAAATGAACATCTACCAGATTTTGAATCTGAAGATAATGGAGCACTAGAAGGTCGTGTTTTTTCTAAAATACCGCCAATACTTATTTGTAGATGCATAGGCAAATTTTTATATAAAAATCGGTCCTCCAAATAAGGTTTTATAAGGTCAAAAGCTAAGGCCTTCAGAAAACTCCGTCTGTTCTTGAAAACTTGTTTACCATTGGCTTTTGATGAATGCAGTAATATCATGGAGTTAATTCCCACAATGTTCAAAATTCCGTAGAATACACAAAGGCTCCAGCGACGAGTTTTGCGAGAAACACTTGTATGTATGACAAAGCTGATCAAAAGTGTCCACTCCTCCTTTCGTTTGATTATTAAAACTTATTATTTCTGGTAAATCAACAGATTTGTCTTCGTCTGGTTGATAGTGCATAGTAGAAAGCATAATCACGTTTTTCTTATTTCCTTTACTTAGCTTTGGAGGCACATATGATAACAAAGTAAGTTCGTCATGAAAAGCAAACATTGATGTGTTCTTGAGGCGGTTTTTGGTTTCCAAAAAATGAGTAGGGATTTCTGTTTTGTTTTTTTTTCATTGTTCCAACTGTTGTAACATTTTTGGTTAAGAGTTTTTCGGCAGCAGGGATTGAAGTAAACCAGTTATCGTACGTGATATTTCTATTAGACCCATGAATAGAAGTTGAAAGCTCCAATGCGTAATACTCAGCCACTGGTAATTCACGTGGTGTAGAATCTTTTCCAGTGTATATTATACTATTTATCATATAATACGATTTTGCATCACAAAACATTAACAGTTTTATTCCATATTTATCGGGTTTTGATGGAATATACATACGGAATGGGCATCTACAGCGAAACCCAAGTAATTGCTCGTCAATCGTTGTGCAATCTGAAGGTGAATAAAGACTTTTTGAAGTTTCAACAATGTGATCGAACAGTTCTTTTATTGGTGCCAATTTACTATGTTGTCTTCTTTCAGCTCTGGTCGGACGATCATCAAATCGAAGACAATTTGTCAAAAATTCGAATCTTTTCTCACTCATAGTAGACCGAAAATAGTTGATGCCCGTATTTTTATCAAATATTTGTTTGACAGACAGGTGATTAATTTTTAAAACTCCAGCTAAATAGTATAAGCCAAAGAGAGCTTTTAATTCGGTTACGGTTACATCTCGGACAAAAGAAGGTCGAATACTCGTAGGAACAGAATTATCATCATCATCATCATTTTGAGATGCTATTGGCCTGTCTGACTTATACTTCTTGCGCTGTTCAGATATCTCAAGATTAGTATAAGTTACTATCATATGCAAAATCTCATCCGTAAAAAATAACTTCCAACTATCTAAGGCACTGGTAGTAAATTTAGCAAGAGTTTTATTTCCTGGTGCATGAAATATTATATTTCTTTGTGGAGTACGCGAGGAACGGCGATGAGTCCCATACCATAGAAATTTTTCGCTAGTTCTTTGCTTTTTTGTTCCTTTACCTCGCAAAACTTCGGGTACTGTAAGAACTGTTACTGGAGAATTTGTGATTCTAACCTGGACAATATCCTCTTCAATTTCTTCTTCCGAACTTTCAAGATCTGTTTCATGGTTAAAGCCATCCTCTTCGACAGGAACCTGTTCATCGCGAAAATCGGGAATAATTTCATCCAGTTCATCTTCTAATTCATCCCCAAGAAACACTTCATCTTCATCACGAACGTCCAGAAGGAGGTTTTGAATTTCATTTTCTGAGAGGTTTTTTCTTGACGCCATCTAAAAAGAAGAATTACAAAAAATTCGTTACTAAACAAAATAACGTAAATAAAATTGTATAAATATTAAGTACAAACACATCGTATGCAGACAAAGTTACTTCTAAGGTAATATTGCAATGTTAAAATTAAAATCATGAATCAAACAAAAAAATAGCATAGCTTATTTCATAAAAAACATCCAGCAATTAGTAACTAATATAATTACCTTAACTGTACCCAGGGGTGCTGGAGTACCCCACACACGCGTTGCCACGATCGCACGCTAACAGAACTCGCGCCCGACTGATGCTTCGACACAAGTTAAGTTAACGTACACTACGCGAAAGTACAAGATGTAGCAATAACTAGTTCGATCACAGAGTAGACTAACTGCAGAGAAAATATGGACAAAAACATTTCTTCAATTGATATCGTGGAAAATAATTAAATAATCTATTCTTATTTTAATACGGTTGTGGTAAAAATTAGTAATCATTAACAAAACAAAGACACCAAGTCCAATTAGGAAAAATAGTAACATTATAAAAACGACATCAGCTATTGTTTGGTTATCATTTCCTTGAGATCCTCCAGGAGATTTATCGTTTCTTCATACGAAAATTTCTCAGTTTTTTGTGCTGACGATTGCTACTAATTCGATTTAGCAAAATCTTTGCACTTTTTTAGGAGCTGCTTGTTGTAAGAGGTTATTGATAAAAATTGGTCTGCTTTCGCCCGCTAGCCCAGTGTCCTTAGTAGTTAGACATTTTTTACGTGATAGAGATATTAGGTTATATTTCAGGAGCCTTGATTTCATTAAGAAAATAATCAACCCGGATTGACCTTGCAATTTTACTTTTGGGGATACTCCTTTACCTGCAGAATGTCATTTATATTGATTTCAAATCCGATGTGTTTACATACTGTCAAGATGGTGTCATTCAGGTCTTCGTTGATTGATTCTGGTATGCCGACAATTTTTACATTTAGCAGTCGGTCACGTATTTCGTTAATGTCCATTTGTCGATTTAATTGTTGATTTTGTAGTTTGAGATTATTATTTTCCGACTTAAGGTTATCAGTTTTCTTTGTGTTCTCAGACAGGACTTTAATATTTTTGGTGGTTTCATCATTTCAGTCGGAGTTAAATTGCACTGATTTTTGAAGTATGATTAATTATTTTTGCATTTAGGATTGTTGTGCACTCAGTAGTGCAACATATTCTTTTACTTCTGTATATCCTTCCGAGCATTTTTTTTCTCTGTTTTCGGTTCCAGAGAATTTTCTCTTTATTTTGTAAGATATTTTTAATAGTATCCGTAAATGTTTGGAACGATTCTGTGATATTATGATCGTTATTTCGCTTTCTTATGTTTATGTTCGATAAATCTGGATCAGAATTGTGACGCTTATTAGGAAGTGAGCGTTGCATTTTACGGAAGGATTTTTAAGTACTCCAGCTACTTTGTGTTACGGAAGTGAGATGCAATGATAACCGGACGGCCAATTCACTGTTAAGTCCACAGGCTTACCCAATACGGCACGTAACCACTGACACTAGCAATGATAAATTGACTCTATTGTAATTGCAATTATTATGTATATTTAAGTAAGTAAATTAAGTAAATTATGTTTAGTTAATTAATTAATTAAGAATAATTTAATTTCAACTAAACGCTACGACACGTCCATATGCGCCGCGATTCAACGACATTCAATATATATGAATACTTAAATAATTTAGTAATGTAAAATTAGTATTGGTAAACATCTATTATGGTCAGCCTATAGATAGATTTTAAATCTATATCCCCCACGCCAGTCAATTGTCATCTAAATTGATTATGATTAAAAATCCCAGATAGCGACAGTTCTTTTTACAAGAGTTCCATAGTCATTTATAAAGAATGTGTTTTAAAGACTTTCAAAATGACATTAAAAATATATAACTTTAACAACATACATGTTGTCAGTGTTTACAGACCCCCATGTTCAAGTTATGATACTTTTGAAAAAATTATGGAAGAAGTTTTAGTTAAGCTTAATAAACAGAATAAATCTCTTGTAATGTTTGGAGACTTTAATATCAATCTCCTGGAAACTTCTTCCATCAGTATTAAATTTCGTTCTTGAACAATCTTATAATCCTATAATCTTAATAATTTATTCTTTGAAGCTACACGTATTGCAGGGTGTAGTGCAACTTGTATTGATAATATTTTTACAAGTGTTGTACCAATCAACAAATCAATAATTCAAAAACTTAGTTCAGATCACTGTAGACAACTGGTTTCGTTACCCTATATGCACAAAAAACAGGTAATTGAGAAAATTGTGTTTGTTCCTATTAATGCAAAACGCCTGGAGAGATTTAGAAGTAATATGTTAAAAATCCTTCCATCCCTTTCTTATAAGAACAATGCAGACTATTTATATAAAGAATTATTTACCTTTATAAACAATGAATTTAATAAAACATTCACTTCTAAAATATTCTCCAGAAACAGTCGCAAGGCATTTAATGAGTGAGCGACAGTAGGAATTCATAAAAGCAGACGAAGGTTATATGACCTTTACCATGAAAGATCGTATAATCTTTCCGATGCTTTTAAAGAATATGTAAAAAATTATTCTAAAATGTTTAAAAGAGTTTGCTCCACAGCCAAATCATTACATATTAGTAACAAAGTTAAGACGGCTAAGAATAAAATTAAAATGACGTGGAGTACAATTAACAGCGAAACCGGTAAAGAGAAACCTCGTAACTCAAACTATCAATTAAAAATGAATAATGAATTGACTAAATCAAATCAAGAAGTTGCAGCGGTTTGAGAAATATTTCACTAATGTTCCTATCTTGACAACAGAGTCATTGAATACTTCTCCAACTGTCGCCGAGTCATTACTTAAACAGAATGTTAATACCTGTTTAAAAGAATTTAGATTTGAAAAAGTATTACCGCATAATATTTTAAAATACATCAAAACCATTAATGTAAAGAAAACCGCAGATTTGTGAGGGATTTCCGTTACAGTGATTGCGTCCATAATAGATTTAATTGCCCCTCATCTTGCTATTATTTTAATACTTGTATCGATTCTGGTGTGTTTCCTGATTTAATGAAGTATAGTAAAGTAATACCTTTATTTAAATCTGGTATTACATTGGACCCCGCTAATTATAGACCTATTTCTGTACTACCAACTATCAGTAAAATTTTTGAAAAAATAATTTTGGATCAATTGTTAATTTTTTTTAATACAAATAAATTACTTCATAAAAATCAATTTGGTTTTACAAGGGGTCGCTCGACGTCTGACGCCAGTGTTGAGCTTATGAAATATATTTTTAATGCCTGGAAGAATTCACAAGATGCCTTAGGTATTTTCTGTGACCTTTCCAAGGCTTTCGATTGTGTTCATCATGATACATTAATCAGGAAACTACAACATTACGGTGTAAAAAATTTGGCGCTTAGGCTAATTACTTCATATTTAATTAACAGAACTCAAAAAGTCGTCATTAATGGTAAATGTTCCTCCGGATCGGTAATATCAATGGGCGTTCCTCAGGGCTCGATTCTTGGCCCATTCCTGTTCTTAATCTATATTAATGACTTACCTTATCTTGTAGGGGACAATCACGATATAGTATTATTTGCTGACGATACCTCTTTAATTTTCAAACTGAAACGGCAGTCAATTAAATATGACGATGTAAATAATGCTCTATCGAAACTAGTACATTAGTTTAACGCCAACAATTTGCTCTTAAACGGCAATAAGACAAAATGTATTAAATTTACAATACCTAATGTAAAACATTCGAAAACCAATGTGCTCTTAAATGGGGAGGAGTTGAGTCTTGTGGATACCACTGTTTTTCTCGGTATGACTATTGACACGAAACTTCAATGGGGCCCCCATATATCTAAATTAGCAAGCAGACTTAGTTCTGCAGCATATGCTGTAAGAAAGATTAGAAGTCTCACAGATGTTGAGACAGCTAGGTTTGTGTATTTTAGTTACTTTCATAGCGTAATGTCTTATGGAATTTTGCTATGGGGTAATGCGACTGATATTGAAGCTATATTTGTTTTGCAAAAGAGAGCCGTACGGGCGATTTATAATCTAAATTGTAAATAGTTCCTCCGAGAAAAATTTAGACAAATAAACAATTTAACTTTGGTATTGCAATATATTTATGAAAATGTAATGTATGTACATAAAAACATAAATAGCTTTAATAAGAATAAGGATATTCATACCTTAAACACTAGGAACAAACATAAGCTTGTAATGCCACTTACTAGACTCCAAAGAATTAGTAATTCATTTATGGGGCAATGTATACGCTTTTACAACAAAATCCCAGAACATGGTCAAAGTTTGTCAATAAACAAGTTTAAAAGTTTTATTAAAGAAAAACTGTACAAAAAGGGTTATTATAATATCAAGGAATACATGAATGAAAATAACCCCTGGGAATAAGGTGATCGCCACCATGCTGGTTCTATGAAAATTCATTTAAAATTGTATAAACAAAATTATTGATAAGTGAAATTATGTTTAAAAAAAAGTCCCGCTGGGTTTCTTGCTGGTTCTTCCCAGGACAGAGGTATTTTCCGAACCAGTGGTAAATAAAATAATGACTTTCAATAAGTACTATGTAATAATCCATATTGAATAAAAATCATTCTATTCTATTCTATTCTACAACAGTTGGGAATAAAAAGTGCTTTAAACATAAGATGCAAAGTGAAAATCAAAGAGAAACGTAGCAAGAAAGAGATAAATCCCAATTATACTATGGCTCTCTTACTCTTCAAATTGGAACACAACAGAGAGTGCAATACTGTCTTGGAACAGAAATATGATTACGTTATTTAGTCACTTCTTTTTTGTTATTGTCTTGGAATTGAAACCAGTCGAAGTAAAAGATAGAGACGGACGACGTAATAATGCACAGGATTCATGGAGGCCAATGTCTTAAGACCGTTATTTGTAGTTTTAATAGAAATTTTCAAAAGTATTTCATGTTATTTTTATAGCAGAGAAGTTAATAAAGGCTCTGTAAACTAAAGTGAAAACAGGGTGACCATATACTTCGAAAACCAACAACCAATGTGACAGAAAGTTTTTCAAGTGACAGTCTCGTATGGATAAGCGAAAAATTGAGTGGACTAGATGAAGTGACGACTAGTGAGACATGCGGAAAGTCGATGGTCACATGTGGTGCAGGATGGCATTTTGTTGCATTCCTTGGCGGAGGTTTACTTTTAGCATTGGACTTGTGAGGTATGTTGATAAACTTGTTAAAAATTCACACGTAGATATTGCCAATTTATTACAGCCTTTTACAGGTTAGAGCAAAACAGAGGCCTCTTTCTCTATTTGTAGTCTTTATACAAGACCTTTAGTTACCATATTTGCTACGCTCGCCAGACGGATTCTACTTTGCATCGCATGATTTATTCATTCTTCTTTGCATACTACTAGACGCGGTAAATTCCTTAGCGTAGTCGCCACTACTGGTAGTTGTATAAATAGTTTTCTCTATTTTAACATATAACTTATAACTAACTAACATATAACTGTTTTTTTTTTGCTGTGTGTTCGTTAGTTATGAGTTATATGCAAGTACTTTAACCATATTTTAATTAAAATAACATACTATATATATATATAATATATCATTCATATCAAAGGACTCATTACATCAGAAATATTTCATAAGAATAAGGTGTGATGTTAAAGTAATATCCAGCACCGCAATATTGAATTCATCCGATATTACCTATGTATAATTTTTTGATATTACATACAGTGTTATGGTAGTACATGTAGAAGTGAATCCATAAGTTTTGTGTTATCTAAATGCTTGCCGTCAATATTTAAAAAAAGCCTGGTTATACAACGGAAATTAGTCTCAATTCGAGAAACAACCATTAATTTAGTACAGTAAGGTAACTGACCGCTTTTAAAATTGGCCTCTTCATAGATTGCCTCGTAGGGGATAT